TCTCATTGTTCGTGGGTTCGAACCCCAAGTCGGGCTCCAGGCTGACAGCACAGAGCCTACTTGGGATTCTCTTTCTCCCTCGCTCTCTGCCCCTCCCCTATGCTCATGTTCTCTCTCTCTCTCTTAAAATAAATAAACTTTATTTTTTACTATTATTATTTTTTTACATTTATTTATTTTTGAGAGAGAGAGCGTGAGCAGGAGAGGGGCAGAGAAAGAAGGAGACACAGAATCCGAAGCAGGCTTCAGGCTCTGGGCTGTCAGCATAAAGCCTGATGGGGGGCTTGAGCCCACAAACTGTGAGAACATGACCTGAGCCGAAATCGGACACTCAACCGACTAAGCCACCCAAGTGCCCCAATAAATAAACTTTAAAACAAGAAAGGAAGTAAAACTATCTCTATTTGTAAATGGCATAATCTTATAAATAGAAAATTCTAAGAATTCACTAAAAAGGTATTAAAACTAATGAATTAGGTTAGTAAGGTTGTAAGATAAATCAATATACGAATATCAGGGCGCCTGGGTGGCTCAGTCGGTTAGGCATCTGACTCTTGATTTTGGTTCAGGTAATGATCTCAGGGCTTGTGGGATCGAGCCCCATGTCGGGCTCTGTGCTGACAGCATGGAACCTACTTGGGATTCTCTCTCCCCCTGTCCTTCACCCACTCGTATTCTCTGTCTCTCAAAACAAATATTTAAAAAATACTAAAAAATATATATACAAATATCAACTGTATTTCTATATAATAACAATGAACAAACTAAAAATGAAATTGAGAAATCAATTCTACAATAGAACAAAAGCAATAAACTACTTATGAATAAAACTTAACATAAGAAGTATAAAACTTACAGTCTGGAAACTATAACACATCAAGTAAAAAAGTAAAGAAGACCTAAATAAATGGAAAGACATCTCATGTTCATGAAGCAAAAGAGTAATTATTGTTAAGATGGCAATACTTCCCAAAGTCACCTACATGTTCAACGCAATCCCCATCAAAATCTCAGCTGTAATCCTAAAATTCAAAATGCAAAGGACCAAGAATAGCCAAAAAAAAAAAAAAAAAAAAAAAAAAAAAAAAAAAAAAAAAATCTGAAAAAGAAATTCAAGAAATTCAGAGTTGGAGAACCCATTTCCTAATTTCAAAATTCACTGCAATACTACGGTAAATAAGACAGGGTTGTGCTGGCACAGAACAGACAAATGGATCAATGGAATAGCATTGAAAGTTCAGAAATAAGCCTCCACGTTTTCAGTCAGTGGATTTCTTTAGGGGTGTCAAAGCCATTCAGTGGGGAAAGGATTGTCTTTTCAACACACGTACGAGGACAACTGGATTATCTACATGCAAAAGAATGAAACTGGACCCCTATCTCATGCCATATATAAAAATCAACTCAGGAGGGATCAAAAACTAAATGTAAGAGATATAATTATACAACTCTTAGAAGAAACTATTTGCCTCTTAGAAGTAAATCCTCATGATTAGACATGACACCAAAAGCACACAGCAACAACGAAAGAATAGATAAGTCAAAATGTAAAATTTCCATGCATCAAAGGACACCATCAAGAAAGTGAAGACAGACTAAAGAATTTTAATCGCAGCCACTGGAGAAAAATTTTGCAAATCATATACCTGATAAGAGACTGGTATCTATAATAAAGACCTCCTGCAAGTCAACAATAAAGACAAAAAAAAAAATGTTTAAATGGGCAAAGGATCTGAAGAGACAGTTCTCTAAGGAAGACAGATAAATGGGGGCGCCTGGGTGGCTCACTCAGTTAAGCATCTGACTTCAGCTCCGGTCATGATCTCATGGCTCGTGGGTTCGAACCCCGCACCCGGCTCCCTGCTGTTAGTGCCAAGCCCGCTTCAGACCCTTCGGCTCCCTCTCTCTCTGCCCTCCCCGCCACTCATGCTCTGTCTCTCAATCTCGCTCTAAAATAAACATTAAACAATTTAAAAAAAAAAATGTAGACAAATGGATAATACGTTCATGAAAAGATGCTCAACGTTATTAGTCATAAAGGAAATGCAAACCAAAACCATCATGAAATACCACTTCACACCAGAAGGCAGGCTACAAATGAAAACGATAATCACCACCACCACCATAATTAGTCAGATGTGGAGAAACGGGAACCTTCACGCATCGCTAGGAGAAATGTTAAATGGTACAGCCGCTTTGGAAAATGGTCTGCCAGGTGCTCAAAAAATTAACCAGGGAATTAGCACATGACCCAGCAGCTCTACTCCCAGGTATATATAGCCAAGAGAAGTGCAAGGGTCTTCATACAAAACCTTGTACATCAACGTCTAAGCAGCATCGTATTCCTAATAGCCAAAAGGGGGAAACAACCTGAACGTCTATCGACTGGATGAATGGATTCCCAAAAGGTGATGTATCCACACGATGGAAGATTAGTCATAGAAAGAAATGAAATGGTGATCCATGCGACAACATGGCTGAGACTTGAAAACATGACGCTCTGCAAAAGAAGCGGGTCACAAAGGAACACGTATTGTACGATCCCTCTTTTTTTTTTTTTAATTTTTTTTTAATGTTTTTTTATTTATTTTTGAGACAGAGAGAGGCAGAGCATGAGCAGGGGAGGGGCAGAGAGAGAGGGAGACACAGGATCTGAAGCAGGCTCCAGGCTCTGAGCCATCAGCCCAGAGCCCGACGCAGGGCTCGAACTCACAGACTGTGAGATCATGACCTGAGCCGCAGCCAGACGCTCAACCGACTGAGCCACCCAGGCGCCCTGTACGATCCCTCTTTTATGAAACGTCCAGAAAAGGCAAATCCACAGAGGCAGAAAGTAGATTCATGGTTGCCTAGGGCTGGGGTGGGGGTGGGGGTGGGGAACTGGGGTATGAAGTTGCTTTTTAGGGTAATGAAAATGTCCTAAATCTGGCTGTGGTGGTGGCTACACAGCTCTGCGAACGTCGTAAAAGCTACTGAACTGCCCATTGTAAATGACTGGTTTGTATGGTATGTGAATTTTAGCTCAATAAAGTTTTTATTAAAAAGACAGCAAGAGGGGTGCCTGGGTGGCTGGAGTGGGTTGCCAGGCCGGCTCAGGTCATGGTCTAGGTCGTGAGAGTTAGAGCCCTGGAAATGGGGCTCTGTGCTTAGCACAACAGCTCGACCTGGAGCCTGTTACAGATTCTGTACTCTCTCTCTCTGCCCCTCCCTGTTCACACTCTGTCTCTCTCTGTCTCAAAAATAAATAAACGTTAAAAAAAATTAAAAAAAAAAAAGACAGCAAGAGGCTGAGACAGTATAGCAAGATCCCTCCATTCTTCCTCTTAGCCTCCCCACCTCCCTGGCCAGGAGAATCAGCGTCCTCTCATCTGAGTGAACATCAGACCTGCAGTAGGAAACTCAGCACGGGCTCAGCAGCATGCATTTAAACAGGCCCTCCGGTGACTCCTGAAACTCTATAAAGTTGGGACTGCACTTCATTCCATGTGGTTCTCAACCTTGACTACGCATTGCAAGCATCTAGGGAACTTATAAGGACCCACTCCTATTCCTAAACAGACCTGGCTCTCCCAGGGATGCAACTCAGACATGGAGGTAAGTTTAAAGCCCATGTGAAACTATGTGCAGCAGGGATGAAAGACTGAATGGGAGACCTGCTCTTCCTGAGGCCCTTTGAGTTTTGGCTGAGCCCAGCTCACTGTGGCCACCTGGTGGCCATGCTGGGAGACAGGCTCATATCTTCCCTTCTGCTCCCACCCACCACTTCCTCACTACAACCTAACCCCACCTGGGAAGCCCTGCTTGGGATTCAGGGATCCTCATCACTCCCCAGGAGGTCAGCAGCATCTGGCCTCTGGAATGGGGCCGGGTGAACCCTAGTTCAAAAGGTAATGTCAAAATTTTCTGTGCTTTAGGCCAGGGCTGTATATGGCAGAGCCCTACAGACAACTAATTGAAGACACATTTTTTTTTCTAAATAGGCTGAAATTCTGGATTTTTCATAAAATTTGTACTTTCATGGAGACTTTTTATTTTTTTTGAGAGAGAGAGAGAGAGTGCACACACATGCATGCACAAAGGAGGGAGACTGAAGGGGGGTGAGGGGAGGGAGGGAGGGAGAGAGAGGGAGACAGAGAGAGAGAGAGAGAGAGAGAGAGAGAGAGAGAGAGAGAATCCTTAAGCAGGCTCCATGTCCAGTGGGGAGCCCCACTGAAACGATCTCATGACCTTGAGATCATGACCAGACTTAAAATCAAAAAGTCTGGGCAGCAACTGGGCAAACCTGCCCAGGCACTAGCAATTTTTTTTTTTTTAATTTTCAACGTTTATTCATTTTGAGAGGAAAATGAGGAGGGCAGAGGAGGACACAGAATCCGAAGCAGACACCAGGCTCTGAGCCGTCAGCACAGAGACCGATGCGGGGCTGGAACTCATGAATCGTAAGATCGTGACCTGAGGCAAAGTCGGACGCTCAACCGACTGAGCCACCCAGGAGCCCCCACCTTTTAATTCTTATAACTTAAAGAGTTATTCAAACAGAATTTTTAACTGAGCAGGTCAATCTGGGGCCAGCCCCGGGCAGCACAGACATACACGGGTCCTGGGTGGGCAGCCAGGCAGCATCAGCTGCTAAAACACTGAACGGCTTCCCTGCAGGTGGTTACGTGGCCACCTGCCAAGACCTTGGAGTGGCCCCATCTACCAACCTGACTCTTGCCCGAGACCCTCGGTGCCCCTCATAACCCAGGAACGGAAGGGTTAACACCCAGTACCACAGGGGTCTAGGACAGGGTGTTTGCTCTGACCGGCCACACCGTGACTGGTCCCAGGGCTGCAGCAGCGGTTACTCTGAATATCGCCGGTGCTGGACATCAAGCACTCCAAAGTCAAGCCAGGATGAGTTGGGGCGGAGGTGTTTCCATTTCACAGATCACTTGCAAAAGGCGAAGAAATAACTAAGAACTGAGGAGGGTCCCCCAGGATCCCTAGCCACCTCACACCCAGTCAAACACAACCCGGGCCGTGCACATGGGGAAGGACACCTGGGTCCGGGCGAGGCTCACCTGGCGGTAGGTGCAGATGATGATTTCCCGCAGGTGGTAGTGCATGGGCGTCATGGTCTCACTGACTGTGTCCAGGGCTGCATCTACCTCCTTCTTCACCTGGTGCCCAGCGGGCAGCAGCTGCACCACCTTCATCACCACCTGGGGCCAGAGGAGCACCGAGAAAACCAAGGAGGGTAGGTGGGGCCCCCAGCCCCAGGCTCACCCCACACTAAGGGCCACCTGAAGGTCCATTTCCAAGAAACAGTGCTGGGAAAACTGGATATTCACATGCAAGTTTAACTCAAAATGGATCAAAGAGCTAAACAAAGAGCTAAAACCATGAGACTCTTAGAAGAAACTACAGACGAAAGCTTCATGATGTTGCATTGGGCAATGATTTGTTAGATATGACATCAGAAGCAAAGGCAACAAAAGCAAGGACACTATCAACAGGTGTCAAAGGGCAACCAACAGAAGCAAAGGAAATATTTACAAATCACATATCGGATAAGGGATTGATATCCAGAATACGTTTAAAAATTCCCATAATGCAACAACAAAACAAACCAAATCCAAAATGGGCAAAGCACTTGAACAGGCACTTCTCCATAGAAGACACGCAGGTGGCCCGTAAGCACATGGAAAGATGCTCAGCATCCCTCATCATTAGGGAAACACAACTCAAAACCACAGTGAGATGCCACCTCACACCCACCAGGATGGCTGCTATCAGAACAAAAAACAACAGGTGTTGGGGAAACGAAAACCCTGGTGCTTTGCTGGTGGAAGTGTAACGTGGTGCCACTGCCATGGAACACAGTACGGAAGTTGTTCAAAAATTAAGCGGGCTGCCATATGATCCAGCAATTCTACTTCTAAAAGTGCAAGCAGATATTTGAATGGATATTTGTACTCCCCTGTTTAGAGCAGCATCATTCACAATAGCCAGAAGGTGAAAATAACCTGTGTCCACCGACAGATAAACTGATAAACAGAATGTGGTCTGTACATACAACAGAATGCTACCCAGCCTTAAAAAAGAGTGGAATTCTAATAGACCCTCAACACGACGGAACCTCAAGAACACCATGCTGTGCTAAGTGAAATAAACCAAACACAAAAGGAGAAATTCTCTATCATCCTACTTATCTGAGGTACCTAGAACAGCCAAATCCATAGAGACAGAAAGTAGAACAGTGGTCACCAGGGGCTGAGGGGAGGGAGGAATGGGGAGTTACTGTTTTGTGGGGACGGTCAGTTTTCGATGAAGAAAGAGTCTTGGAGGCGGATGATGGTAATGGTTGCGCAACAATGCGAAGGTACTCGATGGTTGCACGACAATGCGAACGTGCATGACCATGCGAATGTACGCTTTAAGGCTGGTTAAAATGGTAAATTACATCGTACGTATATTTTACCACAATTAAAAAAACACAAAAATCTAAGAATCAGCACATCAGCGAGAGGAAGGAAAAGAGGAGTTTCTGGAGAGGGAACAGCATATGCAAAGGCCAAGAAGCTGAGGGAGCTTGACAAGTTTGAGGCCAGGGTGACAGGGCAGCAGGGACAGCAAGGCAAGTGCAATGTGAGGAGGCCAGCCAACCAGGCGGGAGCCGACCACAGCACCAATGCCAGAGAGCCACATGCCAGCTCTGAGCTCCACGTTCCCCGTCTGTAGGGCAGGGACACAGCCACCTACTTGCAGGGTGTCTGAATTGATGACACGTGGCAAGCGTACAATATAGGGCTGACTAAATTAGAAATGTTAGTGGCTACGCATTCAGTGCCCTGGATTGAAACGGGGGTGGGGCAGGACAGGCCCTGACCCCGCATCGAGGTCACCAGCCACAGCTGGGTCCCAAGTGCCTGTCAGGGAGCGTCGGTGTCACCCAGACAAGATGGTGGCCAGGGCCCCCCTCCCCCAGGGCGGAGCAGCCCAGCAGCAGGGCCAGGCTAGACTGACCCCGCGCTTCTCCAATCGCCATTGGCCAGGGCCCGGAGCCAAGCGGACCTGTGCTTTGGTTTGCTCACTGTGAAATGGGAGCAGGGGAGCACGGAGATGATGAGGTGGAAGAAGGTGATGTCATGAAGAGGAGCTCTGAGGATCCCCAGACCTGCCAGTGAGACGCGCCCTCTCCCCTCGCCCAGGCGTCCCCCGGGGGCCCCTTGGGGCATGCTCACCTCAAACTCGCCCTTGGTGAACTTGGCATCGGGCACACTCACAAGCTCCTCCTCGCCCACCTCGGGGAAGCCCTGAGGGAGGACAGCTGCTAGTCCAGGGAGCACCTCTGTCCAGGCCACGCCCTCCGCTGTGGGGAGCCCCTTGCCGGGGGCGCTGCCAGCCCCACGTGCCCTCTGCCCAAGACTGATGGGAGAGGCTCCAGGACCGCGCCAGGCCCCGTCTCTGCCCCCCACACCCTCTTGCCACAGCCAGCGTCCCCGGACCGAGCCCCACCCTGCCCCATCCACACGTGACAGGCCACGCATACTTGGATGTGCCAGAAGGCGAGCACAGCCACCACCATGGCGGTCGTGGTCCGGCCCTGGCCGCTGAGGCAGCTGAACACGAAGCCGGTGCCCGCGTCCTTGGCGAGGGCAGCCCGCAGGGCCTCAAGCAGTCGGTCGAAATCCTGGGTGGGGAGACCAGGGGCTAAGTCGGCAGGTGCTCGAGGCCGCAGGCTCCCAACATGGCCTACCCCCCTCCCCCCCCAAACGGCAAATCCCAGCAGCTGTCCTGGGATACCCCGTGCCAGGTTCTGGGTCAGGCTCACAACCTGTGCGCTCACCACTCAACTCACCACGTGCACGTAAATGGCCACACCCCTGTGTACCGTCACCCCTACCCCAGGCGCCACGACCAGACATGCGAGCAGACACACACACACACACACTGCCAGGACACAAAACGTGTATGCCACTCCCATGAGCTGTGTTCCCAGGCCCTGGCCCTGTTGCCTCCCTGGGAAGGGCCCAACCCGCGACCCAGCCCGAGGGCAGGGGTCTGACCTCAGCAGAGCACTGCAGCACACGTCCACCAGGGGGCGACAAACTACGGGCCACCAGACCCACAGAGGCAGGGAATCCAAGCCCCAGCCACCACCTACTACAGGGTACACATCAGAAGTCCCCACACACCCCCGGCACAGAACACACTCCGCACGGACACATCACCAAACACCAAACACATCGCACAGCGACCCACATGCCGGAAGTGGCGGGCACACCCCCCCCCCCAGATGCATCCCCTGTACCTTAAAGACACAAACCACACAGACACCTGCAAAGACACAACCCTACGGAGACCACGCCCACACAACCCTGGTCATACACCAGCACTCCGCAGCTCCCTCTTCCACAAACCCCGTACCCACACGACAACACACGGTTCCCCAAAGGCACGTTCTCCATGTATCCCCCGGTAAAGACCAGAAGAACGTCGCAGATTCCACACGAACACACCCACCACACACATACACACACTCCACAGTGACACCCACACCCGCTCCAAACACGCCTCCCCAACAGACGCACATTCGCCACAAACACCTGCAACACATAATAAGCACACACGCACATACAAGCACATGCAGACGCGAAGCTGTGAATAAACCACCTGGGCCAAATCTGAAGGCTGAACAAGCTCCCAGGCCCCCAGGAGAGCTGTGCCCACAGCCGAGGCCCGGGCCGGAGGGGAGGCGGGAGAGGGCCTCCTCTGCCCCAGAGGTCCGGCCTGCGCAGCCCCCTCACCTCCTCGCAGGGGGCGCAGAAGTCTGGCACGGGGATGCGGTGGTAAGTGAGGCCGGGGTAGGCCCCACGGTGCTGGGCGAAGACCTCCCGTGTGGTGAGGCACGTCTGGAACCTGCGGGTCGGTGGCCCCCCCGTGCCTGGGAAAGGCGTACTCAGGTGGGCCTTCAGCTGGATCTCCAGGTGCTAGGGGAGGGTGGGACAGAGGGTCAGGCCACCGAGGCAGCCTCCAGGCCACCCCGGAAGGCCAAAGCCGCCATGGCCAGGACCAGTCCCGGCTTTGGGGAGCAGCCCTGCCCTGAGCCTCAGGGGTGAGAGCCAGACCCAGAGGCGGGGAGAGATGGCCAAAATGGGAGTCCTAAATCAGCCCCTCCCTGAGTCTGCTCCTCCTGGGGCCTCAGTTTCTCCATCTTACAAGAGGAGCATGGAACCTTCTGAAGACCCTGCCGGGGGAGGGTCCGAGGTAGGGCTGTGCAGAAGGCAGAACGGCCTCACCTCAAGCTGGTCAGGGGCCATGGGGGGCCCAGGCCACCGCAGGCTGTGGGTGTGCCCGTCACACTCCAACACGGCCTCCTCCCTCAGGTTGACCCACACGACATGCTTCAGCTTCCGCTTGGCATCGGTCAGATAGGCCAGGATACTCCCCAGGGCCTGGGGGGACAGGAGGGCCATCAGTGAAAGGGCTCCACCCTCTCCCCCGAGCCCCCTGGGGCCCCTGGGGTGCCCACCTTGGCGCTGGGCTGGGCTGTGCCATAGATAGGCATGCGGGGCACCCGCCGGAAGTTGGCCACGTCCATCTCTCTGACGGTGCTGAGTGCGTCTGGGGAGATGAGGTCGTCCACCCCCTGTGGGGAGAGCAGCAAGCCTGTGACCGCAGCAGCTGCCTTGAGACTCAGGGCCTGGCCCGAGGCGGGCAGAGGCGGGCTGGGAGCAGCACTTTACGGTTTACAAAGCACTTTTGCACACTTGGAACTTCGTCACCACCCTGGCAAGGAGCAGAGCGATGCTGGCCACCCTCCGGATGAGGAAGGTGAGGCTCAAAGATGAGAGGCCGGTGGCAAAGACATCAGAACCAGGTTTCCTGACTCCCTGTCCCAAGCACCTGGGTTTGCGGAGGAGGAGAGGGTACCACAGCAATGGCCAAAGCGGCAGATGCTTCTTGGGGCCTGAAATCAACCCACGTCACCCATAGGAGGACTCTGCCACCCCAAAGGCCATCACCCCTTTGCCTCCTGTGAAGGGGACCAATGTGTAACCAACCCAACCCCTCAGGAATCGAGGGCGCACCGGCCCCGTGGCCAGCCCACACCCATTTCTACGTCCCCGGACAGCCGGCCACACTCACCAGAGAGCCCTTAGTGAGGAGGTCCCCAGGGACGACAGGCCCCGCTGAGCTCAGGGTCACAGGCAGGCGGTACAGCTCAGGATGGGCACAGAGCCAGCGGCTGAAACTGAGGGCAAAGGCCAGCGGGTACTGCAGCCCAAGGCGGAGAGAGATGGGAGTTCAGGGGCACGAGGCCACCCCAAACTCTCCCAGCCTGCCCTGTGGTGGGGGAGCCCCCAAGAGACATCCATCATGGTCCAGGGCAGGGGAGAGAGGCTGGAGAGAGACGACCAGGAGGTCCAAAGCAAGATCCTTCCAGGCTCTGATACCCTGCCTAAGGGTACAGAGACGAACCCAGGGCAGAGAGAGGTGGGCCCGCTCTTTGCCTGACCTGCTCTAGGACCACCACTCTATCTGGTCTCTCCTTGCCTCCCCACACCCACCTTCCTCTGCGACCAGCGCACACGTCCCCATGCTCCTCCCCCGCTCCATCGGGGTCCTTGGCGACCCCATGCCAGTCACCGCGGTGGAGAGGCCTGGAGGGACCCCAGGAGAAGGGGTTGTGGGTCCACTCATTCCCCAGCCCCACCTGCTCATGGAGATAGTAGTTAAACAGGACCAGGTAGAAGTATCGCTCCAGGCTCTGCAGCGCCCTCTGCCGGACACCATGCTGGCTGTTGCTTCCCTGAGAGGAGGTGATGGGGAAGAAGGGCCGGTGGTAAAGAGGGGGCTCCTGGGGCCACCCCGTTCCCACCCCCAGAAGGGCAGACGTTAAGCCTCTGAAATCCCCAGGACACAATCTCCCCTCCCTTTATGACACAGTTCTGCCAGGCTGGAAGTTCTTCCAAGCGTCTAACCTTATCCCACTTGCTGGGATTCATCTGTGGCCCCGGGGAAGCCGCTGGTGACTCCACCAGGACTACCACTATCGGAGCAGGGAGCCTCCCCCACAGGTTCTGCGCCCAGAAATAGGCTGGGATCGACTCCCATTCGCACCAAGGCCACCCCTATTGCAGGGGCCGTGCACGATCGTGTTGAAGAAACAAGTAGATAAAAACACCCTTCTGTAACCAGAGGCCCTCCCTTAAGAACCGTGACCTTCCCCACAAGAAAACAGAAAGACCCTCACAACAGTGCTCCAAGGGGGCCATTATCATTATCCTTACTTTACAGAGGTTCTGAGAAATGAAGTGACTTGCTCAGTCACACAGCTGTGGGCAGGGAGAGCTGGGTCCCCAAACAAATGTCCTAAGCCCAGCCCAGCATGCTCTGGGTAGGGAGCTGTCAGAGAGAATCCCAGGTCCCTCTCTTCACCCTCCAATCTCAGGGTTCTCCTGCTGGGTCAGTACCACCTTCTGGAGGGCAAGCGAGATTCACGGAAAGAAAGGTCATGCCCTTGGATTACATTTAATCCCATCTTTGGGAATCTAGGCCAGAGGTCGGCAAACTTCTATTTCTATAAAAGGCCAGTAAATATTCTAGGGTCTCTCTTCCAGCTGTGCCACAGATGGTCCTGAAATGAACGGGCAAGACCATGTTCCAATAAAACGTATTCAACAGGGGCGCCTGGCTGGCTCAGTCGGTTGGGCGTCTGACTCTTGATTTCGGCTGAGGTCATGCTCCCAGGGTCGTGGGATTGAGCCCCATGTTGGGCTCCACGCTGAGCGTGCTTGAGAGTCTCTCCTTCCCTCTACCCCTCCCCTGCTTGTGCTCCCTCATGCTCTCTCGAAAAAAATACACAACAAAATAAAACATCTACAAAATCAAGGTGGCAGGTTGCATTTGGCCTATGGGTCGTCATTTGCCAACCTCTGATCTAGACTAAGGGAGAAAAACCTAAATAAAGAACAGCTTCATTTTCTTGAAGTTATCTTGATGCAAAAGAATTTGCACTGATGAGCAACTCAACTGTCTCACAGGAGGGGCCCATTAGTAAACCACGGCAGGTGACATGCCAGGGACATCTGCTCAGTGCCAGGCTCCCTGCTAAGTGCTTCATGGCTCTTCCTTTGGTGGGTCCTCACAACAACCCTACGGGGTGGCTATGATTAGTGGCCCCGTTTTACGAGTGGGGAAACTGAGGCACAGAGCAGTTAAGCAGGTTGCCCAGGCCCACACACCTGTAGGTGGCACGGCCGGGACCAGGACCCAGGTGGTCAGGCCACGGCCCGTGCCCTTGCTCACCCCCGGCCAACAATGGTTGAGCCACCCAATGGGCTTAAGTGACACAGCCAGCAAACATCTCAAGGACAATGAGCAGGGATGCATGAGAGAGTGAAGGGAAAGGCAATGAGCAGGACACAAACCGTCCCCCGGGCCCCCACACAAGATCATCACAAAGCACATTGAAGGAAGCCAGCCCCAAAGCCGCACAGGGATGACGGGGGCCTCTTTTCCTTCTCTAATTTCTTAATTTTCTGTACTATGCTATTGCTTTGAAGAGATACGTTTTTTTAAGTGTTAAGGAACAGTCTCTGCAGGCCTTAGATTCCTTCCACGCGCTGTGCTCAAACACTGTCACGACAACCCCCTCTCCCCAGAGCGTAGGGACAGGGCCGCGGAGACAGCCCAGGGCCCGTCGCTCTTCCAGAAGCAGCGCCCTGGACCAAACCCTGGCCTCCCCAAAGACACAGCAAGGGACCGATTTGCAGGGGGAGCCATGAGCAGTCTGGGAAGTCTCTGGGCCCAAGAGGCCCCAGGCACCCCCGCCAGCAGCCGCTTCCTCCATCCTGTTTATTCTGCAGCGAGGAGACCTGGCCAGGGAAAGTAAACTTCCACTCTTCCTTGTCCGTCCTTCCTGCAGGCCCAGCTCCTCTATCAACACCTCTCCTCTCTGGGAGAAGAAGCGACCAGGAAAAGTCCGTCGGCAAGAAACCAGTCAACAGTCCTACCAAAATGAGGTTGCAGGACTCAGGCAAAAGCAGACCCTCTCTGTGCCTCACCTGGGCTGGGCCGGCCGGCCGGACACTTTCCAGCTTCCTCTGGTTTTCCAAGATGGCCTCCTTCAGGTTATGCATCTCTGCACAGGCGGTGATGGCTCTGTCCACCTGGCGCCCCGACCCGGGCAGAGAGGAGGGGAGGGCAGCAGGGAGGGAGCGGGGCGGGGGAGATGGCGGAGACAGACGGGAAGAAAAAGGGAAAGAACGGTTTGCCTAGAAGGGGGAGGTGTCAGGGGAGGAAGAGAGCCCAGCAGGGGAGCAGTGAAGGCCCCTCCACTGCCCCCTCACTCACCTCGTCCACCATCTTCCTGCCCTGAGGCACCATGTGGAGAAAGCTCTGGATCACCTGGAGCTGCTCCATGGGCAGTGGCTTGGTCTGCAGGGGGACAGCCCTGACAAGGAAGGGGTCAGTAGCACGGTCAGTGCTCCCAAAGGCTTTCGACTCCTGTCCTCCTCTTGACACGCTTCCATTCACGTGGCCGCTGAGGGGCGCCGGGCTACAGGCTCCAAGTCTTCCTCCCCATTCAGGTTGAAGGAAGCGAAGCAAGGAGTATTTTCCCTACTGGGGAAACTGAGGCCCAGAAAGGTCAAGCGACTTTTTTCACGTGACTCAGCAAGTCTGCAGCAACCCAGGAAACGAACCCCACACGCCCATCTCCAGCTCTGGCCCTGGGTCCTTGACGCGTCCCCAGCATTCTGGCAGCCTGCCCCCTCCTCCACTCATCCCTGCAGCCCCTTGGGACACTCACTCCGGCCTCGAGGCAGCCCGGCTGTGGTGAAACAGGATGAGGGCACCCAGGGTCATTCCCAGGTTGGTCCTGCCCACGCCTGTCTGGCAGCTGAAGAGGAGAGCAGGGGGAGGCCCGTGGGCATCTCGGAGCGGCAGCAGGCTGGGGGTCTCCTGGGAAAGACCATGACCGTCAGCAACAGGGGGACCTGAAAAACCCCTTCTGCTGGGGCCCAAGTCAGGGGAGGGGGTCGTGACATCAGCCCACCCCTGCCCCACAGTCTTGGGCAAGGGGGGCCCGGACAGGCAGGTGGCTCAGCCTCTTTTACTAAACTTCAAAGTCCAATCTGTTCCCACCTGCCCCTGGGGAGCGCGGCCCTGCGAGCTGGTCCTGGAAGTGAGACTGCCCAGGGGGCCAGGCCTGTATCTAACAACCCCCCCACCCCATGAGATGCAAATTAAATAAGGTGGCCTCCCAAAAGGGCTGGAGAAGAAACACCACCAGTACTCAGGAAACATCAGCTCAGAAGCCTACAGATAAGAATTTTTTAGCTACGGTAACTTGATGTCTAGAGAGGTCAGGTGATTCGTCCAAGCTCACACAGCAAGTTAGCAGTTGAGCCTGCCCAGAGCCCAGTCCCTCAGACCATCAATGCTTGGCTGGCCTTAGAGAATATACACTCCCACACACACCCCACACAGACACACACACACACACACACACACATACACACACACACACACACTTGACCTCCTACACAACACAGAAGGGAGCCTTCCTGTGAGGAAAGCCAGAGGCCACACTCGCCCTGAGCATCTCCATGGAGACAGGGCCTAGACACAGACCTGCTCTCCAGGGACCTGTCCCTACTCCGTGCTCCCATCACCCCCTCCTACGCTGACTTACCCGAAGGACGCTCACAAAGGCATCAAACTGGGCTTCCAGGGGGGCCCCTTGCTCTGGCAGGGGCAGGCGGTGGTACCTGCCAGGTGAGGGGGAGAAACCCATCAGGCAGGCCACCCACCCTGGGCATCCCCCCGCCCCCGCATTCTTGTGGGAGAGAGAGGTGTAGGGAATTCCGCCCAACCTGCAGACGGTGAAACTGAGGCCACAGCTGGAGAGCACGGCCAGAGAACACCCATGCCCAGCACACCGCCCTCCCGTGTGGCCCCGAGTCATCTGGTGACCCCAGGCGGGACCGGCCCTCAGTACCTGTAGGTGGGCTGCAGGAAGAGAGGCCGCTTGAACACCTCCTCGGTCACGTGCACATCGTCCTCACCCCGGATGGCCACAGCATGGGGCTCCCCCAGCAGATCCTCAATATTGTGGTACACGTGGTACGTGTTCTCACTCAGCTGGGCAAAGTCATGGATCTAGATGGAGGAGTGGGGGCCAGAGGGCCATGACTGACCTCCAGGCCCCTCCCGGCCTTCCTGGCCGAGCCGTAGAGTGAGTAGACCACATGGAGGCCCCGGATCGGCTGCTCCTCCCCCGGCGGGAACTAGCTGGCCACAGGTGCTCTGTGCTCTGGGAGTCCTGACGGGATGGGGGTGGCCAGTGGCCTGAGGGCGGCCACTACACGAAGGTGACGTGGCCCCCACCGGGACCAGGGAGGAAGTGCCCTTCCCAGTGGGCTGCAGGAATCAGCTAAGCCATCACACTGAAGGACAGGGGGCGCGCAGTCAGCTGGGTGCTAGAGGACACGAGGCCTCACAGGGAGACGGGGGACAACCAGGTTCCCGCCCACCTGGGGCACCGTGACCGCACACTCCACTTCCACACCTCTGCGGTGGGTGTGTCGACAGCCTCAGGAACCTTGACGGGCCTCTGTGTCGTGACGGAGGAGAACAGAGGCCCCTCAGAATCAGACAGAGGCCCGTGGAGAGGAGACACTCACCCGGGCCTCACAGCTCACAGAGGGCTGAACCTCAGCGTTGGCACTCCTCGGCTAAATGAGGGTGCTGAGTGTGGAGGAGGTGTGCGGGGCGGGAAAGGGGCCCAGGCAAACAGAGCCGGGAACAGCCAGCCCTTCCTCTGGCTTCCTGTGAGCTGGCCCTGCAGACAGCTGCTCGCCCAAGGAAGGGAGAAAGTGGGGGACAGCAAAGCTGGGCTGGGGGTCAGCGTTCCAGCTCAGCTGCCTGCGGCCTACCGGGGGGGAGGGCCCCCTCCAAGCCACTGACCCTCACCTCCTTCCGGATGGCCAGCTCCAGGCTCTCTGCCTGGATTCCAGGTCCAAGGCCCTGCAGGTTCTCACGAAGATTCTGCTTGTCTCGAGGTGTGTAGGGCACGAAGTCCTCACCAGCACGCAGGAACAGCACGGGCTCCTCCCGCACGCAGAAGATGACGCACTCCTGCCAGGAGCCGAAGGAGGAAGGAAGCCGTTGCCACTACCCGGCACGGGCACCCGACCCGCTCCTCACCCCTGTGCCTTTGTGCAGGCTGTGCCCCCC